CATACAAGCGCTCTTTTCACCTTTGCATCCAAATGTGAAAATAATAAGCATTTCTTTATTAATGATTTTCAATCCCAGTGAATCACTCACTTCTCGTAAGATGAATGACTTTGTTGACCCTGAATCTAAGCATACAGAGTAATACCTTTTCGCTCCCCCTTTACACCTCACTGTCGCCGAAAACGTCTGTAAAAGAACGGAAGTCGAAGGTTTAATTTTATTATTGTTTTCATTACATAAGAGCGGAAGAGAAGCTTCAGATATTGGCGTTTATTTTGTCTGATAGGAGGTATCCGTCTCTAAATCTTTCGATGCGGCGTCACAGATTAACGAATTATGTAAACCCTGGACATTGCACACTTTTCGTCTTTATGAGCACAGAAACGCCTTGGATACCCTTTTGAAAAGCAAATAATACATAAACCTCGATCTGTTAATGCCTTTCGGCGAGCCTTTAAATCAAGTGGGCAATCATGATTCATGAGACAAGCAGATAAACAAAATATGCAGACATTTTGTTTCTCTTTTTTAGGCGAAGTAAAGAACTTTCGATTTTGATTAGAATGCGATTTTTGCCAGTATTTAACGGGAGTTTCGCTTTGACTAGTTTAAACTGAAGCGCTTTGCTTATTCGTACTGTAATCATTTCTTTCAGAGTGCATGTAAGATTTATTTTGATAACCTTGATGGTAGCTTTTGTTTCGTACTAATGGTTCATTTACATCAAAATTCTTAGAACGCGCTAACATCATTGATGCTTCCCTACATTCCACTTTCGTTTTCAAGAACGTTAGTAGTTCATTAACCTTGAAATTTTGTTTATCTCTTCTTTTCCTAGTGAATTCTACAGCTAAATTCTCGGGTACAGGGGCGTAGCTAGAGTTTCCAGCGCCCGGGGACAACTGAAGAATTTGCGCCCCTTTTTGTGTGTCAAGAATGGAAAACATTTGATTAAAAAATTTCGTAGCATCAATTTGCGCCTCTTGGATGCTGCGCCCGGGGACAGATGTCCCCCCTGGCCCCACCCTAGCTACGCCACTGCTCGGGTATTAACTTTAACAAAATAGGGGATAATAAATGTCCATAAGAACCACTAGTAATATTTAAGGAATTTAAATTTCTTATTTGTATTTCTATATCGTCATAAAGCTTCCTCAAAGCAGCCGTACTTCCGGAATATTTTACAGGTTCTAAATTCAACAATTTATTCATATGCGCATTAATTAGCAGGTCATCTCTGCCGAAACGGTTTTTTAGTTTATCAACAGCCACCGTATAGTTTTCACTAGTAAAGGATAATCCACTAAAAGCATTTAAAGCTAAACTTTACAAAAGCGATTTTAAATGACAAAACTTGTCAACCGAACTCAGACTTTCGTTTTGGTGAATGGAATTACAAAACTGATTCCAGAATTCAAGCCAAGAACAAGTGTAAGATTCTCACTAGTGTATTTATCAGTTACTGAAGGAAGTGACGAATCTTAAGAACTAGTTAGCGAATAATCGCTTAGGTTCGTGTGACAAGAAACAACAAGAAGGAAGAGTAACTAACACTTTATTATTCCAATAAGATTTAACAAAACTCCGTCTTGGAGTGTACAATAAAAGCCGACACTTGGGCTTGAACTTAAGAGACTAAAAATTAAACTAAAACTAAAATTAACTAAAGTGATAAGTGATAAGTGACGGTGGGCATGGGCACTGTCCCTTTGCCATAGAGATTAATCAGTACAGCACCATGTCCACCCTTATCTAGAGTTGGCTAGAGAGGAGCCTCACGCGTGCCTCGCACCGAGCGCCCAGACGCAACGCCGGATCCATCCCAGGAGCAGTTCAACGAACCAAAGGGCCTCCGGGAATTTATTGAGACTAAAAGAAGAGAGATACATTGTCATACAAGGGTGGTTGAACATACAGTTGATACATGATAGATACAGTATAGTGATTTATAAAATAGCAAGTGAGATTTATAAAGTTTAAAATGAGAGCAACAAATCAAATGTTATTATTGCAAGAGCACACGATGAAACACCAACAGAAACGAGATTAGTATGTTAATTCGTACAGTAAAATAAATGGCTAATCTAAATAATACCAATGACACTTATGAAACGCTTGCGTTCATAAGTTTCAAGAATGCGTTCTGCTCGATGATAATTACAGATTATTTAAAGTTAATGCTGATTGAACAGTGATACAATTATGCATAGAACCTCGTGCAATAGATCCCTATGGGGATCCATACAGACGAAAACATAACAGGTATACATATGCAGGTAAATTAAAAACTACATTAATATTCACGTACTGGAGCAGAGATGTATGCAGTAAGGATACATTACCCCCTTATGCATATCGAGCAACAAATACGTGTACTTTTGGGATTACATACTTCTACATTAGGATTCCATACAAGTGCAGTTTAGTTAGAATTACATTAAAATTCGCGTACTATAACAGAGACATATGCATTGAGGATACATGACGTATTCATTTGAGAAAAATTAACTAAAAAGATATAGCCGAAGCTATCAAGATTCTAATCAAGTTGGCCTTTAACTCTATTTGACTAGGAAGTTTATCGAGGACCTGAGTACGGCCGAGCGTAATAACAGCTTTGAGAGAGAGTAACCAAAAGGCAGATGAGCGCAAATCAGAAACTCTGATTCTAGACTTCGCGGTTTTAAATACCGTTCCTCCTCATTAAGTATTCAGAGTGATTCCAAAACTAAGTTCTGGCCGGAAGTAGTAAGCTGAAGTTAAGATTTTGACAGGAAAGGAACTTTAACTTAAAATTTAACTGTTAGTAAAATTAACATAATCCTTACATAGCTTTCAACCAGACTTTAAATACTCGAAAAATAAGGTCTCAAAACGACCTTGTTTAAGACTTTAAAGTCTGAAAAACTTCTTACGTTAACTACACACTTCTAATTTTTTGAATTAACTAAATTCAGTTTAAAGTTCTGTTTTTTTAGGGCCAACTTTACAACAATTCTAAAGCTAGGCTAAAGCTAGGAAAAAACTTTATAAAATTTTACAAAAAAATTCCTCTGTTCTGGACATACATCATCTTGTTTGAATGGAAACTTTATTCAGCTACTGTTAAGTGTGGTCTTAATCCTTCCATATCTGGAAGGAAATATCATTAGTAGTGCATTTTACAAAGCTTCTCTATAAATCCTAAAATTACACTTTTATTTTCTCATTTGGCCCTCATGCATTTTCATTCATACTAAAGTTTTATTTCTCCCATGTTCTCCAGCAAATGTACTTAGGGTATTTTATGTTGTGTTACCGCGAACAAAACTACCTCTACACAACATCTAACTTGGTTAAAATAGACAATCCAGAACTTACAAGACTTCCTACTCGCGAATACTTTCCTAATGTAGTAAGCGAAAGCTTAAATTTACTTTTAAAAGTGTTAACTGGAGAGCCTAACATTAAACACACATATATACAAAAATCCAATTCTTTCACAATTCAAATACATAGAGGCCAAAATTTATCTTTTGTACAAATTTAACTTTATGATATTTCAACACAGAGATTAAACATTACTACTTTAACACGAACGTTTAAATATTTACACATCACTTTTGAATTCACTTTACATCAACAGTCAATAGTTGCGTAATTACAATTTACCATCTTTACACGATATCTTAACTTTACGTTAACAGATTTTAGTATTCTAAAAGTCTTCCGACTAAACGTTTTCACAATTTACTTCTCGCAAACTTGCGAGTTCTTAACAAAAGTATTTAACGCTTCTCGCCAAATTGCTAACATAAAAATCTATGGTTACGAATATTTACAATTAAGTTCTCGCTATCTGCGATTTAAATTTTCTAAACATCTTTAGCAACTTAAAACAAGATGATATAAATTGAAATATGATTTTTAAAGTAAAATGAGCAACGAAATTTTCACTAGTTTTTAAGTTATTCCTGCATTCTGATGTGGCAAAACTGTTCGAACATCGGGTACTTCATCATCTCCAGCCTTCTTCTCGCCATTTGATGCTCTGTGACGTTCCAATCCTTTCTTTTCCTCTTCTGCCCCTTGCCTAGGCCAGCGGTTCCCAACCGCTGTTCCGCGGCACACCAGTGTGCCGTCTGAAGCACCGTGGTGTGCCGCCGGGTCTGGGTGTCACGGTGCTGTTCGCCCGCTATAACTCCTCCCGTCACTCCCCCCGCCAGTTCTCCATCCTGGACGGTGAAGGAAAGAAATCCAGATGTGATTATTACGCATTGTTTTTTACACCGCGAGGCCCTCGTAGCCAAGCTTTACCATCAGCCTTAGTTCATGTGTTGAATGATGTTGTGCGCATGGTAAACATTGTAAAGTCATAGGTGGTCACGGCGCTGTGCAGTGCTATAACTCCTCCCCCTGCCAATCTTGACAAGTGTCCGCCGTGTCCCCGCCCCCATGAGACGCAGGCAGACGCCTCACAAAGTGTCAGAGAGACAACGGCTGCTGTGAGGAGAGAGACACTGATACTGCAGTGATGGACAAGTTTTTGAAAAGGAAAGAACTGGACTCTGAACAAAATCTGGAGCCAGATGAGAGCCCGAGTATGAGTGGGGGTCAAAAGAAAGCAAAGATGGTTAAATTCTCTGGCGCAAGGCAATATAGCGAAAGCTATATGTCAGTTGGATTTACTTTCACTGGAGATGAACACAAACCAACTCCACTGTGCGTGGTGTGTGGTGAAAAGCTAGCTAACAGTGCTATGGTCCCAAGCAAACTTAAACGCCATCTCCAAACGAAACACCCTTTGCTTCAAAACAAGAATGTGGACTATTTTGTTCGCCTGCGTGACAACATGGAGAAACAGGCAACTTTTATGAGAAAAACAATAAAGGTAAATGAAAGAGCTCTTAAAGCTAGCTATCAAGTTGCTGAACTTATAGCCAAGACAAAAAAGTCGCACACTGTGGCAGAGACATTAATACTTCCTGCCTGCAAAGCTATTGTAGAGGAGATGCTCGGACCTGAAGCAGCAAAGGAAATAGCCAAAGTCCCTCTCTCAAACAACACAATTTCCAGACGTATTAATGACATGTCTGCAGACATCGAAAGTGTGGTTTTGGAAAAGATCCGTATCAGTGAGAAATTTGCATTGCAACTTGACGAGTCTACTGATATCAGTGGACATGCTCAACTCTTAGCTAATGTGCGTTTTGTTGATGGTGATGCAATTAGAGAAAACTTCTTTTTTTGCAAGGTATTGATAGAAAAAACAACAGGAGAAGAATTTTTTCGGGTCACATCAGAATACCTTGAACAAGGAGGACTTAAGTGGGAAAACTGCACAAGTGTCTGCACCGATGGAGCTGCAGCCATGGTCGGGCGCACCAAAGGCTTTGTAAGCAGAGTGAAGGAAAGAAATCCAGATGTGATTATTACGCATTGTTTTTTACACCGCGAGGCCCTCGTAGCCAAGACTTTACCATCAGCCTTAGTTCATGTGTTGGATGATGTTGTGCGCATGGTAAACATTGTAAAGTCACGACCCATGAAAAGTCGCATATTTGCAGCTTTGTGTGAGGAGATGGGAGCAAAGCATAAAACCTTGCTGTTTCATACGGAGGTCCGGTGGTTGTTCGCGTGGCAAGGTCTTGGTTCGTGTGTATGAGCTGCGGGAGGAACTTAAAGTGTTTCTGACAAATGAGGGGTCAGATTACGCAAAGCAGCTTGCAAGTGATGAGTGGTGTGCAAGGCTGGCATACCTGGCAGATATATTTCATCATCTGAATGAATTGAACACCCGAATGCAAGGCCGAAATGAAAACCTGCTTACAAGTACAGATAAAATAAATGGATTCCGTTCAAAGGGTGCAACTCTGGCATCAACACGTGGAAAGTGGCAATCTTGAAATGTTCACACTCACCATGCAATGGCAAGGTGTTCACACTGCTGCACTGTGTGAGATAATAGTTAAGCATTTAAAAACTCTTGAGGAGAAGTTGTCATTTTATTTCTCTTCAGTCTCCACTGAATGCCTTGACTGGGTTAGGGACCCTTATAGCTCAGCATCAGTTGTTGGAAAGGAAATGACTTTACAGGAGCAGGAGGAACTATTAATTGAACTGAGACAAAATCGTGGTTGCAAGCTAAGATTTGCTGATCTACCTTTGGACAGTTTTTGGTTGGATACTGCCAAGGAGTTTCCCCTTCTGGCAAACAAAGCTATTTTGACATTGCTCCCTTTTTCCACTACATATCTGTGTGAGATTAGCTTTTCAAGCATGATTGCTATGAAAACCAAATACAGAGAGAGACTGAGAACTGTTGACGAAGAGCTACGTGTGTGTCTTTCTTCGATTCCAGCCAGAATATCAGCTTTGTGTTCAGCCAAACAGGCCCAGGTTTCGCACTGAAAGTATTTTATAATTTTTCACTATTCTGTTTACTTAATATTTCATAATAAAGTAATTATAAAATACTTTCTTTGTGCTTATTTGATTCCTATTCAAGAGAATTACTTTATTATAGTCAATATAGGCACAGAGTTAATTTTTTAACATTTTCTAATGGTGGTGTGCCTCGTGATTTTTTCCCCCGCGACAAGTGTGCCTTGGCCAAAAAAGGTTGGGAAACGCTGGCCTAGGCATCTGGGAATCTTGCGGGAGGGCTGCGGGTTTTGGAACGTCGATTTCCTTTTTAGCTCCGGTGGGGCTATCCGTCCTTCAGGGTCTTTGAATCTTCTCTTGGACCTTCTAACTTCTTGGTCAGGCACGGCTGTCTCCGCAGGTCTTTTCTCGCTTTTCGTTCTCCATCCTGGACGGTTATTCTACGCTACGAAAGTCGCCAGCAAGATGTGGGCCGCCAGATGTCGCTACTAGTAAAAAAACAGGTCTGCCCGACATCCTATATTCTCTGAGTACGGAAGTTGTCGAAAGCGAGTGAAAAAGTGTTGCCGCGTCGTCAATCAGTGTTGTGCAGTTGACGTACTAAGTAGACAATGGCTTTGTATGTGTTTTCGCTGCTGTTTTTTTCATATTTAAACGAAGAATACGGTCGTAGATCTCTGAATTGGTTGCGAATTTATAGAAAATATGTTGATGCTTTTGCTCTGCCAAAAGATGTTTCCATTGCGTATTTCAGATTGCCAAAATTTATAGTTATTTTAATTTGCGATGAACTGAGAGAGTATTTGGAGCCACATTCAGAAAACAAGAACGCAATTTCTACTGAAAGAAAGGTTGTACTATTCCTGAAATTATATATATAAATTGTAATTGTATGCTTTAAAAATGTGGAAAATAATAAGTTTATCGAGCACATAAACCTTCTTCATTTAATACAAATATAGACATCCGATAAGCTTCTACTCGATTTATGCACAGCAAGAATTACGTTTACTTTAAAATCTAACAGTTGAATACCTTATAAATAATACTCTGAACACAAAAAGGAATATCGTTCATTATTACGCGAAATTCACACTACTGTAAAATAAAAATTTTAAAAAATATATAAAACTATAAAATAGCTTTAGAATATTTTTTTCAGTAGCTGTACTACTACTATAGTGTGATACTTTTAAAAATAAGTTTTAGCTCAGAGGGGCTATTAATTTCGTTTTGCCATTTTGTGGCGTTTCACTTTTCAAATCGTTGCCACCAAGTATTATCGCATTCTATTATATTTAAAGAAATTAAATAATGAGGAATCTGCAGAATATATGAATGTTTCTCGCACTGTGATAAAACAACGGTACCTAGAGCCATGAAATTCTGAATAACGTAATCCTCCATCCTAATATAGGCATCTGGAGGCCCAAATTTGGAACTGAGAATTTGTTTTATTACCTATTTCATATTTTGTAAAGCATTTATGAGTTTTTTTTTAAGAAACCCAACGATTTCAAAGCGAGCAATGGCAACATTATACGGAAAAAAACATTTTCATCTCTAGCGCGGGAGACTATGTATCGGAAATTCTAAAGATATGCTTTTTTTAAATTATATGATATTGCTGTTGAATTGAATTTTATGGTTTAAGTGCGAAAAACATGATATTTAATAAATAAAGATAACACGCAAAACGTTAAAAAAATGGCCCTTTGGAAGTAATATAAAATCTGAAGGCTTTCAGATTTTTTATTTATTTATTATTATTATTATTGTTGTTATTTTGTGTGTGTGTGTAATTTTATTACGCTTTAAAACTGGTTTCTAAGTGAGGACTTTCTAAAGGAAACTGGCTCGTATGTACTGTGGGTAAAAAAAGTATTTGCACACCTACATTTTTGTTTGCATTTCATAAAAAGAAGCATTAAGAAATAAAAGAATTGGTATTGCCAAATCAGAATAAGTTTAATCATCCAAAACAAACAGAAAAATTACAATAATATAAATAACAATGCTTTTTTGTAATAAAATTAAAATACCTCGTATCAAAAAAGTATTTGCACACCTGCATGAATACAAAAGAAATAAAATATATAAGCAAATTTCAAATAACTAATATTTAGTATGCATTCCTTTAGCATCTATTACTGCTTGTAATCTTGCTGGCATTGATTTAATTAAATTTTCTGTAATAGTAGGGTCAGTATTCGATCACTCTTCAATAAGGGCTTGTTTAAGGGTAGATTTGCTTAAAATCTTCCTTTTTCTTATTTTTAAATCCAAAGAATTCCAAAAATTTTCCAAAGGATTTAAGTCTGGTGATAATGGTGAGTGGCAAGTTTTCTGGGTACATTATAAAGCAACCAAATACGTGTTATACCCGGCAGTGTGCTTGGCATCATTGTCTTGCTGAAAATAGTATGAATTACTGATACCCAATTTTATTGCACTTTGTGGCAAGTTATCTCGCAACACATCAATATAGGTTCGAGCTGTCATATTCCCATCAATGAAACACAAATTACCAACTCCTTTGCTAGCCAAGCACCCCAAAATCATAACAGAACCTCCTCCATGTTTAACTGTAGGTAACATATTTTTGGTATGAAAAGCAGTTCAAGGTTTTCTCCAAACTAATTTCCTGCCATCTGATTTAAAGATTATTGAACTTACTCTCGTCGGAGAATATGACATTTTTCCAGAAATCAATTGGCTTATTGATATATTTCTTAGCGAATTCAAGTCTCTTCAGTCTATTTCGTTCAGTTATGAGAAGTTTTTACCTTGGAGATCTCTCATAAATGTGTGCATCGTGCAGTACATTTCGAACACTTTGGGCACAGATTTGAACTCCAGATGTTGAAGCGACATCATTGGCTAAAGTAATTGCACTAATAAATGGATTTTTCGATGCTTCTCTTATGATTTTTTCACTTAATTTACAGTGAAAGTTTCTTTGGGAGTCCGAAACGCAAGTTATTTGATGTAGATCCTCTTTCTTTATGACGTTTTATAACATACCGAACAGTAGAGAAGCAAACATTTACCTTTTTATCTATTTCTCGATAACTTAGGCCATTTTCACGTAGAGAAACAATTTTTTCTCTCAACGAAATCGGCAATGAAATTCGAGGCAGCCCAGCAAGCCACTCGTCGAGACCGCCACCCCGTGAGAGCTGCTCAAGTCCAGCAGCCAGAGAATCAAGTCACTGCTCGTCTAGACGATTTAACTAGACAACTCAACGCCTTGAAACGGAATATTGGTGATAAGAAACCGACCGTTAAGTGCTGGAACTGCGGTGCTGAAAGACACATACGACGAAACTGCAGAACACCCCAGGGCACGGATGTTAAGACCTCTCCTAGCAAGCAGCAGGGAAACTAATTAGTGGCCATCTCGTGGGTCGGAGGTTGCCAGATAATGAAAAGCCCCAGTTTAAAGCGCTTCAGATTTCTGCAGTGAGAGGTGGCAGTAATGGACTTTTTATAATAGGAAATATTAATGGAGTTCCCTGCAATATGACAATAGATACAGGAGCCAACGTTACCATCATCCGAAAAGATTTGGCTCAACAATTGGGAAGCAAACTTATCTGGACGCCGCTCTGTGTTACCCTCCAGACTGTGTCCGGTGAGAAGATCGATATCGCGGGGAAAGTGAACGTTAATATCACGTTTGGAAGTGCCGCTTACCATCACATGGCATATGTAGCAGACTTTACAGATCCTTGCATACTCGGATTTGACTTTTTAAGGAAATATAATTTTTCCTTGGACTTTAAAAATAATGAATTGCATTCTGCGTCTGAGGACATAACGTTATTTGGAATTAATAATGAAGAAGTTAAATTTGTCCACAGAATCATAGCACAAGACAATATCACAATACCGGCAAGAACAGAAATTTTACTCCCTGGATCTATAGCCGAAAACAGAGATTTTCGCTACGGCATCATACGTAGAATATCCCAATAACTGTAATAGCCCGAAAGGAGTACTAGTAGCCTCGACACTCGTCGACCTATCGAGAATGATTATTCCTGTGAGAGTTGCCAATGTAACGGAGAAGGCGAGAGTTATTAAGAAAGGCGACGTGGTTGCAGCATGTACTCCAGTAACCAGCGTTGAAAGAAAGAGCAACATCCCAGAACCCGTGTCCTCAGAGAGCATTACATCGGAGTTATTGCAGAATGCGCAATTAAACGATGAAGAGAAGAATGCTGCCGATCGCGTCATTAAAGATCTTCAAGTTGTTTTCTCCCGCTCGTCATCTCACGT